TTTCTTCTCTCTCTCTCTCTCTCTCTCTCTCTCTCTCTCTCTCTCTCTCTCTCTCTCTTCCAAAGTCCCTCTTTCTTTCTTCCCCTCTCTCTGTCTCTTTCCTTGCTCCCTGTTCCTCAACGCCTCCCGCCCCCAATTTCTTTGTCCATGATAATTTTTTCCAATGCAGCTGGTGCTACTCCTGTTGCTGCTGCTTTTAGTGTTTTTGTCTATGTTGTTGTTGTCTTGATGTTTTATAGTCCACGGTGAGTACGACAGTTTGACTTTTCTCCCGGACTTGATTTTAGTTATAGTAAAAGTAAAGTTGTTCCCGCATCCCATCCGGACTTGGGACATTGGGGATTGCCTTGTTAGTAAGGGGGGCGTGATCCAATTTCATTTCAATGTAGAGTTGACCAACCAATAGCAGAATATATATATCTCAAATTGCTTTAAAAATCTGAAGAAAAAAAAAATATTCGTTAACTTTTTTTCCTGAGCCCGTGAAAATTAAGAAAAGCAACAACAAAAAACCCAACAACCAACCAACAAAACAAAACAAAAGACAAAACCAAAGCCTATCTCGGGACAGAAGAAAACAACCGATGAACTGAACAAATGTGACAACATTAGCAGATTTTAGTCCCCAAACGAATATAAAGATAGACTCATTATTTCATTGTACCATGCCGTTGTATTGTTTCTTCGTTTCTTAAAAACATAATTAAGAAGATAAAGTTGAACTTGAATTACTACTATAAACTTTAAAGTCCCCATAGGAGTAACCAGTCCCCCCTTTTTTCTATAGTGATTAGTACAACACTTACATCAAGTCTATATCTGAAATAAAATCATTTTATTCTTACCTGCGCGTAGCCTTGTCTTTTGGTACAGCGTTAGAAAATTCCAAGAAAATGAAAGCGTTTAGCATCAGCAACCCTCAAGTATGTCTCGACCACCACTAGATCTAATAATATTATTTCCTCCCACAACGGCCGACTTTTATCTACAAGGCGAAACGTGCGGTGGCGTCATTAGCAACACGTCATTTCGAAAGAACACCCCTACCCCTCCGAAAACTACTGCGAAGCAACAGTGAGTCAAGGGGCGATAATCAGCTTGAGCCCCCCCATCCAAACAAGGGGAGAGCACTACCCCACCCGCATCATGGGGCTGGCGGGACGGGCCGCGGTCTCGTCTAGCCTTGTGGTGGTGCCCGGCGTGGCGAGTCGCAAGGTCATGCAAAACTGGCTCGTATAGAGGCGGAAGGAAGAGAAAGAAAAAAGGGATGAACGACAAAAAGTGCCACCCCCACAGAGGTGGACGAGGAACTACGTCGCTTTACATATTTAATTCTATCCGTGTCCAAAGGCGGATAAGTCACACTCGGAAACGATACTGTACGCACGTACTCAAAAATCGTGATGATTCCTGTCACATATCCCACCCCTCTTTCTTCCCCCCCCCCCCCCCTCCCTCTTCTCTCTCTCTCTCTCTCTCTCTTTCTCTCTCTCTCTCTCTCTCTCTCTCTCTCTCTCTCCCCCCCCCTCTCTCTCTCTCTCTCTCTCTCTCTCTCTCTCTCTCTCTCTCTCTCTCTCTCTCACCCTCCCCCTCTCTCTCTCTCTCCCCCCTATCTTTCTAATGCAATTAGTGTGTTTTATGTGTAGCATTTTTGTTGTTGTTTGGAAAAGTAAATCTTCCCTGGGGCTTTAATATCACCTATAAATCAAGTCATCAAAGAATTTAATAATGGTAGCCAACTGATAGGATCTAAGTTGTGCCCCTTGAACCCGCTTTTTGTCTCCTGATGACCAGGTTCTGATGCGGAGACAACTATATACTGTAAATATATTGGTATATACATACTCGTTGTAAGCATTAATATAATATTAATATGAATTAGAAGTTATTATTTATGTATTAAGAAATGACGACTGTCTCAGAATTAACAGAAGAATGGCCATACTGAAATATTTATCCAACACTATTCAATTCTGTTTAAACATTCAGAATTCCTTACCTTGGTTTTATTAAACAGATATAAGGTTTAGTAGACTAATATAATCAAGCTTAAAAGTCTGCTTTCCCCCTGTCACAGTAAAATAATACAGTTCTCAATTTACTTTTTTTCATAATTGAAAACCAGGGTTGGGTTGATTTAAATCAATTGATTTTTAAAAAACTGAAATCAACTTGATTTTAAAAATAAAACTCAGCGATTTAAATCACTTTTAAAAAAAGGTATTCTGTTTTTACACCTTTAAACATTCAGAATTCCTTTCCTTGGTTTTATAAAACAGATATAAGGTTTAGTAGACTAAAATTGCTTAAAAGTCTGCTTTCCCCCCTGTCACTGTAAGTGTAAGTAGTAAAATAATACAGTATTCAATTTACTTTTTTTCATAATAGAAAATAGCATTTTCTTTTTCTTTTTAGACAAACAAGCGCGCGCGCACACACACACACACTGTAATAAAATGCAAGTTTATCTATGCATAATTACCCCCCCCCCCCCTTCCTTTTAGACTGACATTTTCTTCATTTTTTGTCTGTAGCCATAATTCACTGATATAGCAGATGTTAAGGCTTTCTAAAATTGCAGTTGCATAGATTAATCATTAGTTAGAATAAAGACAATGCATTTTGCACTAAAAGAACATACTTTTAGCCACCAAAAATCCCAAACTGTGTCGACATTTTTAAAAAATCCAAAAAAACCCAAACCGATTTAAATTTAAAAAATCTGATATAAATAAAAAAAATCGATTTTTTAATTTTTTGTAGTAAGGATAACCCTGACCTAACAAACTATGGGGGGGGAGGCTCTCGTGGTGCAGAGGTTACGGTGTTTGCCTCTCATCCAGTAGGTCCTGAGTTCGAAGCCTGGCAGCGAAGGAGCATTTTCTTCTCTTAAACTTTCTCTGTTCACCTCCTTCCCTGCTCTCTAAACATGATCCACTGATCAACACTTTTCAGTAAAATCTACTAAGAAATGTGTTTCTAAATGTAGAAAAGTACAACACCTTAAACAGGGTAATAAAGAGAAACTGTAAAGAAGCAAAAGAAACATGGATAATAATCAGTTTCAACAAATAGAAACGAATCAAAATCATTTTAAAGGACAAATAGGATTGCTTAAACAGATGGTCAGAATACTTAGAAGAACTTTTCAACACAATAAAGGGGAAAACCGGTAATAGTGAAATAAATAAATGGACCTCCAATATTGGAAGCAGAGGTACAAGCTGCAATTAAGCAAATGGACATGGGATGAGCCACAGTGCCAGATAATATCCCAATTGAAGTGATTGTCACACTAGAAGAACTAGGCTTTGAAGTAACACCAAAACTCTTAAACATAGCTTAACATAAAGCAATAGGTACCACTGAGTGTAAGATGCATACAACAAAAAGCCTCAGGAGTCACTTTACAGAAATCTTGTTTCGAGTACTGATGAGAAGAATGAGTAAAAGTCTAAGATCAGAGATATTTAAAATACAAGCCAACTTTGTTCCTGACAAGGGCACCAAAAATGTTGTATTCACATTAATAATGTGCACCCGCCAACTACCCTCAAGGATAGTTTCAATAAAATGATATATGCATGTATATGCAACAATATACGGCTCTAATGTATTTTTCATGTATTCATTGTTATGCGTGTGCAGGAGAC